TATTATATTTTAATCATTTATTTGGTAAAACAAAAACAGTAACAGTTGTGTTCCTGACAATTTGAAACATGTTGAGACGGTAATAAAAGGCATGCTTTTACCAAAAAGTGAGATAATTGAAATAAACAAAAACCAATTTGCTATGCTGGGGACGGGCTCTCATCGAAGCCATCGAACTCGTGTAAGTCATGCGGGGACTCAAGGAGGAGTCTCGTGTGCAGTTGCTCCGCTGCATCGCCAGCTACCATGGCCGGCGCTTTCTTGTCGCTCTTCCCTTTTCCTTTTCGGCGGAATCGGTGCCGCGATTTGGATGTCCTGGGCAGTTTGAGGCGCTGCCCCAACTTCCGGCAGGCGCAGACTCCATTTTCCAGCAGCGTTCGGTCAGATTGGGATTGAGAGCTGTCACTCCGAACTCGAGAACTGTTGTAGGGGTTCGAAGAGCCTGAGCGATGCGACGTGCGACGCGAAGGGCGAGATGGCGAGCTGATCACCGTGGCGCTCTCTGCGTCAGGTTTCAAAGTGTGATCTTGCGTATAAGCCCCAACAACAAGTGGCTGGCAGAGATTGATGTTGTCATCATCGAAGAAATACACTTCCTCTGATTCTTCGAATGGACGTGCATGTTTACAGTGATGCAGCAGTCCGGAATCCATGAGAGCGTTGCCTAGACGCACAGCTTCACTGGTTGAGTCGACGTACTGAAGCTCACACATGTGGGAAATGGCTTCTTCGCCAGAGAACCCTTGCAGAGCAGCCAGTGGAGCACTCGAAGAATCGATAGGTTTAGCCTGACGCATGGCATCTTCTAGTTCGTCTGCCAACTCAAGCGCAAAAGCGGCACTGAGTTCCTCCTGAATACTTTCAAGCGCACTCACCACACAGTGCGCTGAAGGACGGAGTCTTGGATCATGTTGCCAGCAGCTCTCGATGATAGCACGAATGCTAGGGTTTAGTCGGAGATCCAGCTCGGGACGCTGGCCTTCGAGCACGTGATCAAATATGCGGAAATGATTGTTGCCGGTACCAGGAAATTTCTCTTGTCCAGGATTTAGTACGTCCCACATGGTGATACCCAACGAGTACACATCGGCTGCTTCACCATACGCTGCAAGTCCTGCTCGTCCGTTGATAACTTCAGGAGCCATGTAGTCGACTGTACCCTTGACTGTCATACGGATCGCGTTAGCGTCGCTGCTGTCATTTGTGGTGGTTTTTACGGCGTCTACTCCGTTCAACACGAATGATCCTCGAAGTTGCTGCAGGTTAGCAGCTCCGACAACTGCAATTTCGATGCTGGCACGCTCTGCTGGAACCTTTGCACTCGAGTCCTCACTGGACAGCATTGCTACGGTGGAGACTTTTTCTCCACCGTATCCGCTCAAACTGCTCCGGTGTGTAGTAACTGGAGCACTCACAAAGCCATTGCTGATGACCTGTGCTCGAGGAAGAGAGCGAGACTCACCAAAGTCAGTGAGTTTGACGCTGCAGTTCGCATCCACAAGGAAGTTGGTCGGTTTGATGTCACGGTGTAGGAATGGTGGACGGAAGCTGTGCAAGTAAGCAACGGCTCGTGCTGCGTCCAACATGAAGGCGACATTGAGTAGCAATTGCTGGCGGTTGTGATCATGCTCGCTCACTCTTGATCGTCGTCTTGCTGCTGCAACCGTGACATCTTCCAGACTCCCAACGCAAAGCTCGTTGACAAGGCAAATGGTGGGCGGGCACACGCACATGCCATGGAAAGCAACGATGTTCGGGTGATTTAGTGCGCCACAAAGTGCTGCTTCATGCGAGAATGCGGCGACAGTGTCTTCCGTGAAATCGGTAGGAGTGTACACTTTAACCGCGACGTCGGTTGATGAACGTAGTACCCCCTTGAAGACGACAGCACTAGCTCCAACCCCGATACGCTGTTGCAATTCCAGATAGGCGAAGTCGATGATAAACTTGCGATGCATTTCAATCAGAATGTGGAGTCCCTTGGAGGACACACGCTCCGGCATTCCACGAGTTTGGCAAAACAATCGCTGCAGAGCTACAGCGCGCTGACCCATACCTCTCCAGTGCTCGGTATCTGCACGCAATACGCGCCAGATAACCAGCGGACAGAGCGAACCGCACAGTAGATTCGAGTACGTGAGATAGAAACCTGTCTCCAAATGTCCTTGTCGAAAGCATTCGTTGTACGCGAATAGAAGTGCGTAGTAGATGTACGCGAACACACAGTACTCTCGCAATGTACGCTTGCTGGCTCGAACTGGTGGACGAATAAGCACGTACGAGTACAGCAACAATAGCAGTGCGCGTGCAGCTGTCAGTGGAGCGTATAAATCGAAGGCTGGGAAGTAGTTTGTAATGGCCCAGACGAGAGGAATGGTGTAGGTTGACAGTGCCAGTGTGATCATCAACGTACGTCGAAGTGCTGGACCTGATACACTCTTCTGGAGCATGAACACTATAACGCTAAGGAAGACGAATTGACGGCCCGAGTAGAAGACCTCCGTCGCAAGCTTGGAGATTTCGTAGGTGTAAAGGTCCGTGGCCAACGCCGAACAGAAGAAACCCGTGTAGATCCCCGTGGTGCATCCGAGCACCCATAGAAGTGGTTCATACGCTGGCAAGATGATTTTCCGTGCAGCGGTGGTATCACCGCGTAAAGCTTCATTCCGGTTGAATCGCAAGTAGATCACCAGGATGATACAAAGAAAACACATGATGCCATAACCCAGTAATAGGAAGAGCTGCAACGTGTGGAAGCGAGACAGCAGATACGCCATCATCGCCTGCTTGGCTGCAACTTCTTCCGGACTGGGCGTTGGAGCGACCGTAGCATTGACGAGCGTGGAGTTGACGAAGAATGACCCGCTGCCACCTTGAGACGACATGGTGTCGATACGAAGTGCTGTTAGCAGGAGGTGACGGGTTGGAGGTCGTTTAAATACTAGGGATCAACTAACGCTGAGTTGGTGGTGGTGGCGGCTTGAAACGCTGCAGTTGAGCTGTGCTTCTGACCACTGGACGTAGGAGGTGGCGAACAATTGGATTGTGAGCATGGGTAGAGGATACAGAGGAACGACAAAAGCGTCGAAAGCGTCGAAAGCATGTTGCTCAGAGCAAGTTGCTTTGCGGTTTCCTTGGAGAGCAGTGGTCTGTGGAAAATGCCAGTGTAGTGTGAGTCAACGTATCGAAATGATCGGACCTTTTGGACCCGTTGAACCAATCATTGAATTTAGACAATTCGGCTAAATTCAATGATTGGATGATCTTTAAGAGTCGCAAACGACTTCAACGTCAAAGGTTTATCTTCCACAAAATGTACGGACGGATACGATGTGGAGCTACTCACAGGTTCAGATCGGTATCATGTTTATATGACGGGTATTGCTAGAGAGAGCGTCTTCGAGCAGCTTAAGCGATGAAATCAAGTGGATCCTCGCGAAATTGGTGCCTAATAAAAAAAAAAGACAACTCGTCAGTCGTGCATGTGTCTAGTTTGCTGCCACTTCACTGACCTCTTCGTGCTTATTCCATCATAGATCTCCAATACGGCGGACGAGTACACAAAAGAGCTAACTGGTCTAGTGTCAATACAGTCAGCTCCGGCATTTTTCGTTTGCAGCAACCATCTGAACAGCTTCAAGCGCCTTGTATAAAGTCGGAGCTTCTTCACCGAATTCACATTCCTCCTCATCACCTGGGCGAATATTAGCTATGCCACGTGTTCAAACACAAATGCGGGATGGGATGCGATGGCGCTTTTGCGTTACTACCATTCTTTGCGGTTCCGGCTTCCTTCAACAGCCCCAATGCAACTTGCGAGCCAATGTGGGTGGCGTTGCAGCATTTGTGTCGACAGAGGTCGAAGAGCAACAGTGTTTGTCGAAAGGCAACAACGTTTGGCGATAAATACAGTCCATGTAACTGTTGAATAAGTTTGAGTGGTATTGTGTGCTCTTTGTAAATGGTGGTTGAGGCGGTGACGAGCTTTCCAGTAGCTCGAAAAAGGTAAAGGAGCTGATGCTAAGTTACAGCGAGACAAATCGAGCCATGGCACTTCAACGAGGCAACTTGAAGATGTGACACGATCCATGTCGCGTCATTTTTGGCGCCAAAACAAAGGTGAAGGTGGATTAACTTGATACTATCATCGATACAGACTTTTCCCTCGAGGAGCGCCGCTGTCGCAGCATTGCTGCTGCTACTGAGCTTGTCAGGCATCACGTCAGCGCGAAAACGGTCGGTCTCCTCCATAGCGTAGCACACTATGCTGGCTGCGATGTGCGGGTAGGGACCTTTGGATGATTTGTAAGACATCGCTGCATTGTGCTTGTGCAATCACGACCAATCGTTGGGAACGGCATACAAACTCCAAGTGTAAGCTTGAAGTGGACTTGTACAAAATCAGCAAGATCGCTGCCGCTTATAATTAGCCGGCTGAGTGAGTCAACGGCGCTTGAGTGCTTAGCGTAAATAAACCCGAAGCAATGTCGACCCTAAACGATGTCGTCTATCTGTAGGACAATCCATGCCGCTCCTCGAATTATCGCCAAGTTGAAGTCCCAATTTTTCTGAGCTGCGATTCGCCAAAAAAATTCCAACTTCAACTCACTTCAACCAATCACTCGCCATTGCGAAAGGGTACAGTGCCTTTGCCACCTCGGCCAGAACCAGAAGAAAGGCCTTCATTATCGAAGTCAACGCAGTTATCGAAGTCGAAGCAGGACGACATAAGACCACTGCAACAGTTCCCTGTTAGCGTCGAGTTGGCAGCATCAGTCTCAACTTCACTTTGGTATCTTCCAACCGCAAAGTTTGTGGGCCGAACGCACATACTAGTCAGTAGGTAAGTTGAAGTGATGGCTCTCACATCAGTCTCCAGTGTGTCTTAAAAAAATTTTGTTGTGTTTGCCTCGAACAACCACCTGATTGATCCATTTCTCGTGATTTGTGGCGGGTTTGGTGCTGTAGCAACAGATTGAGCCAATCGAGCCGAGGAAGAGCTGTGCTTGGTGTCGCAGCATACAAAGCCCAAGTGAAAAAAACAGGTGAGTAGGGAAAAGCAACAGGGCTGTGGAGGAAGCGTGCTCCTTTTCTGCAGACTCCAAGCCCTGCGCGTTTGAATGGCGGACGTGTGTTGCTGACTCTCTTCTCTGTGCGCCGTACTTGAAGCCTCTGGTCTCGCCACTTCACTGTAGAATCTCTAGGAGCCACCAACTTCAATCGAGGCACCAAAACCGAAGCGATACTCGACTTGCTTCAAGGCTAGAGCCACGACAAGGACAAGAACTTTTGGATCCTCTCTTCTCTCTAGTTGAAGCCACACTTGCTTCAACGTCCCATCCATCCATTCGAGCACCATTCCGTCCGAAACAATGCTATCCATGGTCAATAGCAGCCAGTCTGTTGGCAACAACGCTGGCAGCAACACCAGTTCAAGCACCACAAACACAAGTGTCAGTATGAACACAGGAACGTCCGTCGCACACGCTATTGCGAGCTTAGCGCACAGCGGGAACACCAATTCGCAGTACAACCCGCTGACTCTGCAGCTTCAGCAGCCACAGGACTCTGCCAACCAAACACGGCATCACCACGTCAGCAACGCAACCAACAATGCCGCTGCGGTGCTGACCTCGGTCTCTCGTGTCGGTATGCCGGCTGCAGTAGCGACGGCCCCGAAGAAGCGGTCAACCAAGTCCAAGTGCTCTCCTGGTTTACGTAGTGGCAAGTGGACACCAGAGGAGGAGGCGTTCACTAACACGATCATCCACTACTTCAAGCGCGGACTCCTGGACGTGGAAGATGGCACCTCTCTCCGCTGGTATCTAGCGAAGCGTCTGAACTGCGAGGCCATGCGTGTGACCAAGAAGCTCAAGGGCGACAGCTCCATTGGCAAGCAGATCTTCCGCGCCGTAGAGAACACACCTGCCAGTCGCCAAGCTATTAGACACGCCCGTGAAGAACTCGCGGTAATGGAAGCTCGCTTCCTCGAGTCACTCAGTGGCAGTGGTGTTGGTCCGGGTACGCAGCATATCCCCTCCGCTTCATTGCCGTCTTCCCTCGCTGTGTCAGTCCGTGGCCGCAAGATCCTGCCAAACATGAAGAATAGTGACGGTCAGCCTCTGACTTTGGCTCCCATGCCACAGCCCAAGTCTGAAGACGCGAGACTGCTGATGCACTTCTTCTGTGAAGCACATGACGGCTCTGAAGAGGAGCCGGAAGACGAGAAGAAAGTGGAGAAGAAAGTGGAGAAGAAAGTGGAGAAGAAAGCGGAGTCTGGCAGCCTCAGCATTGACCTGAGCGGGAAACTCGGCAAGAAGCGACCGCTGTCGAGCGTTACGAATGTGGAGAAGGCTGAAACCTCTAAGGACATCAAGTCACCAGAGAAGAAAGATGTTGCCTCTCCACAGACGAAGAAGCAGGCGATCGAGGTCGTTAACCCCACTGTTGAATGAGCTGTACACACCGCACAGCGAGACTATTTAGGCGATTACTCGAAGGTCTAGAGAGCGACGCCGCACCTCCACAATATTTACAAGACAACCAACACGGAAGAAACGAGGAACGAGGGCTGGCCTCGCACAATCTTACCGCTCTGGTAGTTGTAGCGTAGCTGAATGACAAAAGAAAAAGGCAGACGTTAGACGCGCACACCCATACACCCTTCTGCCACATGTACATATTCATTTTGGTCTAAAATACAAAGTTTTACGAAAAGTGCTCCATGATCACAACACTTTGCTTCGAGCTGCTGTTGCGCATTACAGGGGGATTAGCAGCGAAAGCGATAGCAGCTTTGCTTGGCGTTGTCGTGGTGACTAAGCTAGACGTGGTGATGCTGTATCCACGAGCAGAGACCCAAGTGAGCAACCACTTCAAGTTGGTTAGAGCATACGTGAGCGCCTTAGTCCACTCCTTGTGCTTGTTTTTCAGAAAGAGAATGGAATATCCCCCGATAGAGTGCTTTGCCACCTTGTAAGGAAGTCGGATGGACGGATCTCGCGCTCGCACGAATGCCATCAACTGACCCAGACACGTGATCCAAGCTCCCAGACCCAAGTTGAAGTGAGATTCAGCGAAGTTTTGTTGATCCGAACCGTGTCTACATGGCAGAAAGGACCAATTTAACACAATTAGCACAGATGTTCCACGTTGTCTCCACAATAGAACAACGTACAGACAGTACTCCATGCGGAGATTGCTAGTTCGAATAATCTTTGAAAAGCTGCCCAGTGGAACAATCTTAAAGCTGCAACACAAAAGACAAAAAGATCGTTAGTAAAAGTCGAAGGCGTTTAGACAATCTGATACACTGCAAGCGTTTGACGTACTCGGAGAACTCCAGACCAACCATATTCGCTAGCGTCTGCAATAGTAACGCGCACTCGCCGAACGCAGCATTTATCTCATTCCACTCCAAGGCCAACGATGCAGACTGACCCATGCGGAACTGGTTGATGGTGCCGAATGCGCCGTCATAACCGATGATGAACATGTCTGTAAGAATATTCAAGTATTTGGCCGACGCCACCTTACGCTCCATCGTATCGATTTGTGCCGTGCCTGCATCTCTGATTTCTTGAAACACGGATTCTTGCAGCTGCAACCCGTTGAATTGATCCCACAGCCCTGCTTCTTCATAAATGAGAGCCTTCTCCTCTTCGTTCATCGCTTCTTGCTGCTGAGCAATGGCTTCGCGCTCGCTCTCCATCAACTTCAAACTCTCCTCCAATGCATTCAGCTCGTTCTCGTACTTCATAAACATAATTACATAATTTAGCACCGAAAACAGTGACAGACATTCATTTGTTGCACGTACAAAGCGAATTTTGTCGTCAATGTGCTCGATATCTTCGCTGTGGGCGGTAGAGCTGGTTGTATTGTGTAGGAAACCCGTAAAGCAGCGTTTCTCGTAACGCGCACGCTCAGCTTGCCTTCAAGAGTGCATGAGTCAACCTAAGCTACAGCAGTAAAACGAAAAAAAAAAATACACTAAAGAGCGTACCCGTCGATCATCGTGACCATGCCGTCCATGCACTCCTTACACACTGGGGTTGTCACAGGCAGCCCAGCACTGTACGCATCAGACAACCGTATTATCAGCACGACGTAAACACCAAGCATACCTTACAGCTTCATACCAATGTGCTTGTTGTGTTGTGAGCAGTTGCACGTGGTGACTCAAGTCTGCATAGGTAGGCACCGCCACCATACTGTCCTCCATTTCAGGGTTCTCCTCCTCGTGACTAGCATGACCCACATGGGCCTCAAAGTATCTCCCAGTAGCAGTGAAGCTGTCCTTCATCCTTTGCTGTTGACGTCTTTGTCGTTGCTGCAGCTTCTGCCTCCTCTGCGCCTGTTGTCGCCTTTGCTCTTGCTGATGCTGTTGCTGTAGCGACAAATTGTAGCGTGCACTGGCGTATAAGTCTTCACCAAAGGCTCCAGACTCGCCCATCTCTGGTGGCGTCGTGGCCGTCGCAGGTAGCTTCTGCAGCAGCAACATACTCTGGGAGGCGCTGGCCGTGGGGAGAAGCACATAGGATTCACCCAATACTGTGCAGTAGGCCGCGAATTACACAGCAAAATGAAGACCAGTGTAAGGAGCACGCATCGAGTTAGGATAAACGACCGAAGACGCCCTACCTGGCGCGCTGAGCAGCTCGCTCTCGAGCGACCTACGGCACTGCTGACATCTTCGCATGCTTCTTGAAGAATGCGGGCACCTATCTTATGGCATGATTACTCTCTACTACAGGTTCTGATTCAAAAGCGCACAATCATTTCGGTCCGCCCTCTAACTCGCCCACCAGTCTCCGAAGCACCAAGTCCCGAGCATGATCTACTATAGCAACCGCATCCTCTGGCGTCTGCTGCTGCACTCGCACGGGTCGTCCATCGCCTCCAGCTCTACACTAAGTCGTGCGGTCATCGTGGCAGCATTGTCGGCTGCATTGGTTCCCTTGCAGCGTGAGAAACCGACTCTGCTGCCTGCCGAGACGTTGGATCAGCTACTGCTTTCCGCATCGGTCTTCCTAGCGGTTCTACTAGGGCTACGAATCTTTGCTGCTTTGCGCCAATGGCAGCGAGGCGTGGAAGATGTAAGTGCCATTGCAGACGCTGCGCGTACCCTCACAGCCACCGCATGTGCCTTCGTACATTTCTCGCGCAAGGGCGTGGCCGACCGCGCACAGATCCGCAACAAATGCCAATTTATCCGGGACGTGAAGCGGTACATTTTGCTGTACGTGACGCTAGTGTTCCACGACTGCAATGAGAGTGACGCCCCACTTGAGTTGCGCGCGCTGCTGACACAGAAGGAGGCGGACGAGTTCTCGAGTACGGAAGTGCTGACACTGGGTGAACACACGTGGAATAGAGAGCGCAATGTGGTCGGGTCGTCCAACAAGTTGCGCGCAGCCGTGGTGGAGCTCTGGCTGCGACGCACGATCAACCGGGCGAGAAGGAAAAGCTATGTGACTGTGGAACAGGCCATGGAACTCAACAAAATCGTGTCGACACTCCCGCAGATGTACACGAAGATCTTTAACCTATGCAATGTGCCCATTGCATTCAACTTGGCGCAGTGCTTACACGTGTGTTTCGTCGGGTATTTGCTGCTGATGGGAGCGGCGTTGGCTCCCGTGATGGGGTTTATGACACCACTATACGTGGGCATTGCTGCGGTGCTGCTGTTTGCATTGGACAACGTGGCTTCGTCGATTGAGTGTCCGTTTGGACCGGACGCGAACGATGTGGATCTGGAAGCGCGTATCTTGTGCATTCAGGACGAGTTGAAGGTTATTCTTCAGGCACATTTCCACTCTGTGGGTCACGTGGACTCTTTCAAGGAGCAAGACCGCATGGCGTCGCTGTCGTCGCTGTTGTCAGTAGATGTTGAGACTGTGAATCGAGGTCGCAACCGGCACGGATCGGTATCTTCGTCGTACTCGTCAAATGAACGCCCGTCTCAGTACACTGCGCCGTCTTCAACGTCGGCCACCGATCGAGCTGTATTACTGTCTATCCAGCCAGAAGCCTACGGAGCCATCGAAGAAGCAGACGACGAATTAGCCAGCCCACCGGCGATGCACGGGTCAGACGACCACGCCCACATCGCTGTTTAGTCAGATAGTATGAAGTGAAGTTGGAGAGAAGTTCGAGTTCAATCTTGCTGGATGACATCATGAATTCAAAGAGTAAGATGAAATCGCACGTAACATTAGACTTTGATGATCTCTAATTTGCCTCACAAGTAATGGAGAGCAGGAGGCACAAACTGGGACGTCGCTCACCGGCTTCGTCATGGCCAACGACAACCAGTTTGATCACATCACCTACAAGCTCGTTCCACTTCACCTCGCCTTGATAATAATAAAAACTCGTAACACGACATCACTCACCCATGTCCTCACTTCGTGTTTAGTTCACGGTCCAACCCGAACTGGTTGTACTGCGCGGGTCGATTGTAGAGCTTGACTGGTTCGGCTGGTGGTCCTTGCTGAAATCGTGGGGCTCATCCAGGTAGTCCTCCTCCAGGATGGGCATGTTGGTAGCGCGACCCATTTCGTACGTTCCAACAGCAGGCAAGCTGGTGCCTGGCTCCGACGAGAAGTCACTAAAGTCGCTGCCCCTGTCAACACCTCCGAGCTGTCGGGTATCATATTCCCACTCAGACTCGTCATCATAACCAGACTGGAACGAGAACTTGCTGGTATCTGAAGGTCTCGAGCTCGAAACATCGTCACTTAATCCTGCAAAACTGGCACGGTCGTACGGGTTTAGCGAGAATGATTCACTGCTTTCCACTGATGCAGCCATCTGACCGGGCTCTGCGCGAATCGTTTTGTCGAATACGCCGCTATCCGCAGCGTTAACTGCAAGGTAGGACGGAGCAGCGTTGTTAGCGCTGTAGTCACCGCTCATATCCAGACCCTGCAACTGTGCCGGTGTTTTGTGTGACAGGAAGTTCGAAGACGCCATAGTGTAGTCGCTTGCACGGTCCAATCCGCTCACGGGCTGTCGGAATGGGACGTCCTTTGTACTCACATTATTGCGGCGTTTCTTCATGTAGCAGAAGAGCATGCCCGCCAACAAAATGGCTGCACCGATACCGATACCAACGTAAAGGAACAAATTGCTGCCGCCGCTACCACCATCAACAGATACAGTCACACTCGAGTAGATAGCCATGTCAATACGCTCTCCATCCACAGTCACCATGGCAACACGACCGAACATGGTGTATTGACCCGAGTTTTCGAACGTGTAGCTCGTCGAATAGCTGACGGCGTCACTTGTGAGGTTCATATCGTCGAATTCAGCGATAGCAAATGTAGATGATTCATCACCCGTGTACGTTGAGCAGTTAGCACCAGCCAAATTTCGCTGACAGCCGCTGAAGACTGACACGGGCACAACAGAGTAAACATCGGTTCGTGGGTTCTTAATAGCATCCGTCGACGAGACCTCAGCGATTAGCATTGAGTCATCTGTAGACGAATCTGTCATGTCCAGCATCCACGCGATATCAATCGTATCGCCGACGTTAACTTCAGTGGACGAGAGCGACATTGACATCGAACCAGGGCAGTATTCACCGGTACGAATGGTGAGATCTCCGGAAACGCTGGGGTCGAACACAGACACGTCTTTGGACGTCCAGCAGTACGTGGTGGTACCATCCGTGGTAATACTGCTAGGAGTAGTACCAGCGACGTCTCCAATTTGAACGGGGAAGAACGTCACGAAGTCGGCACGCGAGTTACCAGCGATGTTAACCACGAGATGCACATATCCCGTGTATTTGCCGTCCTTGGGGATAACGAGCTCCTCAGAGCCGAAAACCGCCACGTTGTCGGTGAAATCGTTCGGGTTGTTGCTCGAAGGGTAGTACGTTGAACTCTCACTTGCTGTAGAGAAGAGATCGCACGAGCGCCAGTCACACATGACTACATTGGCCACGGCAATGTCGTATGTGGTCTCGTTTGTGCTGCTAGAGGTGTCAGCCGAAGCGTTCGTGTGGCCGAGAAGATAGTCAGGCACGGGTACGCGCACAATAGGGACCGGGAATTCAAAGTTGGGGTCGGCTGACGACGTGTCCAGCGTGGCAGTGTAGCGCAGCGGAATCAGCGAGTTCTTCTCGAGCTCGTCGGCAATATCCACGCGGACGGTAATGGGGCACGAGCTGCCCTGGTCCTGCACCAACACGTCGTCCTCCACGGGTTGCTCCTGCGAGTACTTGTCCGAGATGTAGTAGCAGTACGTCGTACTGCCGTCCATTTTGAACGTCACCCTGCATCATCACCAGAGCGTTTCAATGTTAATACTTTACGACCCTAAGACCTAAAGCCAGCGTCTTGCCAGTCGACTTTGTAGGACGTACATGGTGGCCGGACACTAGCGATCTCGAGGGCTGGACGGGCTGAGGCTTGCGGGGCACGAAGGAAATGCGAAGACAGCAGAACTGGGCAACTGATTGCCGTCCTCGAGCTTCAGATGGCGGCCTTCCCGCTGGCCCCCCGTGTGTAAGAGCGATTGGAAGTGTGTTCGGACTGAATGTCCAGAACGCCAGTTCGCGCTGCATCGTGTGCCACTCCACCAAAACACAGAATGTACTTGGTCCACTGTTTAATTTCGAGTAAGTGCGAATAATTAGGCAGTAAGCAGCGTCGCCGAGCGACCTCGAGTCTGGCCCGCTCCAGCTGCTTGCCAGCGGAGTAACCTTTGGCACCACCATCAGGCCTCAATCGGCCATGATTCGTGGCCGAATATGGCTTTCATTTTGGTGAGTGTGTTTATCGACCCTCGCTCAGACGGTTTCGCCAGTCAAGTGAACTTGAAGAGCCATGAAGCCATGACACTTCTGCCTTGAACAACACTGCAATTGAGCGACTCTAGGTCGCTGCCAACCATAAAATACATTGTGTCGCCTGCAGTTGGACCAACGAGCGATGGTTGTGACACCCGGTCGAGGTGTTGCCGCGAATGCTCGAAGTCTCACCGAATGTGAGTCGCATTGATTTGGTCTTGGCCGCTCTCTTGCTCCCACTGGATACAGCGTAATTACAAAACTAGCCGCAAGTTCTTTATTTCTAGTAATTACAACATTAGCCTCTTAGGAATTTCCAGTAGTTTGGCCATTCTTCTAGGACAGTCTATGTACCGTAGCAGTCAGGATGTTTTACCAGAAATTGACGTTGCCTCGCTTTATGGACTTGTTTAATAGTGTTTACAATCGCGGTATGTTGGTACTTCCCTTCATTCTCTGACCGTTGACGGCAGTTGAAGCAGACAGGGACTTTTTGGCTTGGTCTCATTGAGACTCTCAAGAACCTGGTCTGCTCCATTGTTTGGCTAGGACGCTCATGCGCTCCCTTCACGCTGTGGGGGCGGCACTGCTGGCGCTGCTGCTTTCGGGCAGCTTGGCGGCCGTTGACGAGACGAACTGCTGGAAGATCGATGGCTCGACGTCCCTCGTAACGGCACTGGCTGCCTACTCTGGCTCGGCCTGCGCGGTGGACGTGACGATCCCGCTGGTGGCCGCGTCCTACGCGCCCAACGAGAGCATCTCACTGTTGTGGGGTGTGCAGCTCGAGCCTAAGTCGACTAACGCCATGGACGTTCCCATGCCGCCGGACACGATGATCACACTCAGCTCCGATAACGCCGGCTCCTACGTACAGATCCTCTCCACCTACGTACGAACGTGCGCCTCGAGGCTGCAGTGCACCCCGAGTATCTTAGGGGACGAGATATTCACAACCGCCCAGTCCGGTAATTTCTCCAGGTCCGATGCCACGTATTTCGAGACACTGGACGAGCTCTCCTTCGCAGAAGAAGGAAATTACACAGTGGCCGCCGTTGCCGTGCTCGGCAACGCCGACAACGATATATTACTGTACTACTTCCAGACATTTGCGGATATCGTCGTTAAGGAAGACCAAGTCGGGGCTGTGTGAGTTATTTGCTGCTGCATATCATGGATGGAGCGAGGATCTGATACGTAAAGTGATTTTATTGTGTTGACAGAGACTACGACAGCGCCACGACCTATTGCCGCGTGACAGCGCAGAACCCACTGGAGGATCGGCTAGACTCGAGCGTGTTACTTGCGAGCAGTGACAGCTCCGAGATCGAGGTGGCGATTGATGTAAACAATGTTGTGCAGGCCAACCAGGCCTTTGACGTCGTCTGGACGGCCACGCTGACGCGTAACTCGTCCAAGGACATCCAGTTGCCTTCACCCCTGAAGGCCGTCTACGTGTTGGCCGACGATGACATGAAAGACAGTGGGTATTACACCATCGTGGGCTCGATCGTGAAGCTGTGCGAGCGCGACATGGGCTGCGACGAGTATTCGAGCACATTCACCGCATCATCTGCTGATTATTCCGCGAACTTTACGTCGGCAGACACTGCGACGTTCAACTCAAGCAGCATTGTCGTTCCCTCGACAGGCTGGTATACAGGCTTTGTCCAGGTGACGCTGGCAGGAGCCGACGCAGACTCACAGAGATACGATTTTGTTAAATTCTTCGAGATCTACGCAACCCAGGAGAACATGTCGAAACAGGTAGAGAGCGAGACGTACGTGGACGATGGCAGTGAGTCTTACTGCTGGGAAGTTGTAGCAGATGCCGAAGATGAGGACGTGGATGCTACGAGTGTGGTGTTCTCGGGGA